GCAAAAAGCAAAATAAAGAGCTCATCGATTAGCTTTCTTACTACGCTACGCGTTACACCGTGTTGTTCTCTATTTTGCTGATAGTAACAATGAGAACCGGGATTAGAAGTATACCAATGAAAACCGGGATTTCAACGGAATTCATAGTAAGCACGCGTTATGTAATCCCACGAAACGGGTTCGCTTTCGAATCACATGCATTGATCGGCATGCACATGCATTGTTTGCATACCTTATATCTTCAACGCTGTTTATTCTAGTTTCAATGACTCCCACGAAGGGTATGCACAAAAACCAAGCATTCTCACAAAGCTGCTATAACACGGTGTAACGCGTAGTATAAGAAAGAACATTGGGAACAACACGGTGTAATGCGTGGGATCACTATTTCCTGTTACTACTAAAGTAATCAGTAAGATCTGCCGTGAACTAAACAGACCTCAACCAAACTAACCAAACTTCCTCCCCCACCATGGTGGGCGCCATCACTCCTGTAAGTTCCTCGTATTGCGTTGCGTTGAATCGCTGTATCGATACGCTTTCGGTTGCTGCATGGAATCGATACGCGTTGGTGCATTGAATCGATACATTGAATCGATACGCGTTTCGCGAATCGATACGCGAAACGCATTGCATTGAATCGAAAAGCGATAACAGATCTAACAAGCTCCTGTGTTTATCCAACTTGACCATGGGAATTATTCACAGAATACATTGTTTCCAACTGGAGACACCTTCCTCCCTGCATGGAAGTACCCATCAGCCAACGCCTCAAGCCTATGAGGTGCCTCCATTGCCTCACGTGTCGCCGGCGGCGTCTTCATGAACACTGTCAAGATCTGGTTGTGTCCAATGGTACTGCACTGGTAGTTGTACAAGCAGATCATTAAGTGAATGATCACCTTCCTCTCCCCGAAGTCCTCCAATCTAAGCCTGTTTTTCATCCTTGGGAACTGTCCTTGGATCATCCTCATTCCCCACTCCGACATCTGTCGTAGTGACGTGGCGTCCCTATTCAATAGGACATCCCCCTCCTCTGGATCATTTTGAGAGCTCTGAATCAGATAGTCCCTGCCCAACAAGCCAAATGCTGAATCAACAACACACTTTGCTCCTCCAGCAAGAGTGCTGTCCACTGCGGCAAGCTTGTCGTAGACTCCATAGTCACTGATGGCGCTGTCATGCCACGTGCCAGGGCAATTGAAGACTCCAATCCGAATCCTACCATCCGGTGCAAAGACAAACACCCCATTCACGTAAGTATTTGCCTTCCATCCGTTGTAAAAGATCTCTTGTTTAAGCCAGTCCTCTGAGGTCTGGATCTCTGTCTTGAGCCCATCTGCTGCTGCCCAGACGCGTTGCTCTCCAAGTCTTGGATATTTTGCTCCAATTGCCCTAACATACTCATTCATTTCTTGCTCATTTGGCAGACTGACCATGGCGAGTGGATGGTTGTGGAGCACTGATAGGAGGATCCTCATGGAGAACTTGAGCCATTTGTACATCACAGTCAATGTAAGACCAAATGCCATAGCTATTCCCCTTGCAACAGATCCTCTAGTCCTGTACCAGAAGAGCACTAGTCCAAGACAACAAGTCGCGTYGGCCTCTCTTGGCTTTCCTTTCTTTTTTCCACTCCTAAGGGGGGGAAGGAGAACAATCTCATTGTTTTTGATTGAGTATCTGTTGAAAGCTGGACCAAATAGCTCAAGGAGATCCCTGAAGACCCTGTGGTCTACACCACAGCAGTTGAGGAGCGCTTGCTCACAACCAGACTGGAAGAGGAACAGGAATGGCGAGTCTGCATATCTCCTAATTGCAAKGCGGGGGGTTCTCCTGTCCCTCCTGCGTCTCTCCTCTGGAGTCTTTTGTTTGTCTTCCCATTCCTCTACCAAGCGTCCTCTATGCTTGATTGCCCAGTATATGCAAAGGGTCTYGATGACACCCATCRTGYCTCTTTTGTTTGCTGGAAGGCAACTATTGTCTTTTGTTTAGGATACAGTGGTGTTTATGAATAAATTTATTTCATCATGTAGTAAATCACAGTATCGAAAATTTCGTGTTTTACTTGGTACTGTACTCAAAAAGGGCGCCCGCGCGTTCATCCAGTCTTAGTAGTCTTAGTCCTTTCTGTTGAGATTCCGGATTCCTTAAAAGCCAAAAATTTAGTCCGTTGGGGGCCTGTTTTTAATGATTCCCGTTAAACTAAAAAGTCTAAAATGTCTACTTTAGACTTTTAGACCATCTAGATTAACGGGAATGACCCATTGGTTAAGGAGTTTAGTGTTACTGTGGTGATGCTTGTCCCCTCCATTTGTTTTGTGAGTTTGGTATTAACACCAGTTAATTGTTGGCTGTCAATCATATTTGTGGCATCAGACTTGTTGGGAGGAGGAGAAAGTTTGTAAAGGTAACAGCAAAGGTGTCTTGTTAGTTGTTGTTTTAGTCTTCTTCTTCTGGGGCTCCACCTCTCCCCCGCTGTGTCCCGCTGCTGGTGGGGCTGGAGGTGGCCAACAAGGATGGGTCCGAGTACTACTAGTAGCAGCAGGAGAAGACTTATCCATCTTGATACCACCTCTCTTAGTGCTGATATGAGACTGGAAGGCAGCTGGTTTTTTATCATCATTCTGTTTCTCCTTGAATATGATTTGAAGGACCATTGCATCAGCAATCTGCCCCCCCTCCACTTGAACTCCTGCAACAAGAACTTCAGCAACCACATAGACAGCAGAGGCATCCATCCTCTTCTGGAACTTAAGATTTCCCTCAGACCAGATGCATCTATCAGGTTCCTTGAGTTCCATTGCTTCAATTCCCATGCTAGTCCACAGTTCATGATCCCTCCAAAAGGTTGGAAAAGTAGATCCATCTTTTGCTGTTGTTACATCTAAATCAACCTGAGTCATGCACTGTCTCATGAAAGTAGGCCACTTGCATTGCACCTGAAAGGTATATTCCATTGAAGGATGTAGTCTGATTTCCTTGCTCCAGTGTGCGTGAGCAGTCTCACCAAGCAATGGTTCACCATATCATCAGTATGATGGTCAAAGGTTGTCCATCTTCTGGAAAGAGCTGGATACATGAGAGATTCAGAAACCCACTGCTGAAGATCATTCTTATCAGCACATTTACCACTCTTCTTGTTGTTGGAGATTGACATGTTTCCAGCAAGAAGCTCTGGAAGCATTTCATCTCATATGGTGTCTGCTCCTCTTCTTGTTGTTGCGTGGCATTGTGGGGGTTGTTTCTTTGTCTTCTGATTCCAAATATTCTTCTTCAGAAAATTTCTCTTCTTCCTCCTCCTTGGCTCTGGCAATTACTGCAAGCTTCTCTTCTATTTCTTTGTATGCATCAATAAGTCAGATTCCTCAGTTCTGTAGATCTTGAGCAAGTGTTGCCACCATACTCTAGTAAAGGAACAATAAAACGCATGGACCATGTTTGTGGTTTGTGTTGACAGCAACATATGTGACAACAACCTACTAGTACCTTCCCAATCTTGGGCCACCGTGATGATTTGATGCGTTGCTGAATGTAAGCTGAGCTTCTGCAGTTGTAAACAGAAGAAGGCTTGTTGTCAGGGTCCCACCAGCCTTCTGCTATTTAAATACAGCCAAAAGTTATAGCAAGCAATCTCCTTTGATAGCTCTAGTTTCTGGTGTACTGATTCCTGATTCCAACTTTGCTCTTCCTGATGCGTGCCTTTCTTAGAGGAGGATGATCCAGCTCTTGCCATTGTGAATTATGAGGGCATCAAAGCCCTAGAAGGATCTCATACCACCATACTGCTTTGTTATCAATACTGTTGCTTGTTGTTGTAGTTGTTGCTGCTGCTTTTATGAACCAATTCTGTAAAGCAGTCCTATCAAAGTTTAGTTAGTTTAAAACAGCAGTCCAGGAACAAAAATTTGCTTTATTTATGCTCCACTTTTACTATGTGAAATGAGGAGTGTTTACCACCACAAAGGTTACCAGAGCAGTTACAAGAATCTGGTAGCATTTATTCTTGTAGCAATCTGGTAGCAATTCGGTATTCCTACCATCTACCATAGTAAATCCTACCAGATTGCTACCAGATTGCTAGTACCATCGCTCAATGCTACTACTACTACCAGATTGCTACCACAAACGCTGCTAGTAGTACCAGCACCACCAAAATATATGCCACGCTACCAGAATTTTTTTGAAATTCTTCCAGCCCCTGCCTCTTAAGTATCAAGAAGTTTAGTATTCAGTTCACAGACTCATTCAAATGCTTCATTTTGTGTGTTAAGCAGCGCCTGCTGGTTCCATTCCAGTAACGGCTCTAGTAGCAAAGGTACATGGTAAAATCTTCAATGATGATATGGACGACGAATTTTCCAAGACCTAACATTTTCTACCGTACCATGACCACACGTACTGTTACATTGAAATCGAATCTGCGTTGACACTCGTACATTTTCTACGTCATCGTGTTCAAAAAAAGTTCCCAGTATTTATCGGCATGCACATTGAAAGTTACTTAACATAACCGGTATCCAACAGTTTTTCCTACGAGAGAAAATAACAGTATCTGTCCAGTGAACCACCGACTCAATCGTTCTTTGTCCAGTCGATGAACCATGACTCTGAAAACATCCTTCGTGAGAAACAAAATCCTACGAGATTCTTCCATACGAGAAAAAATACTACCAGATGATAGTTTTTCCGTTACCAAAGTCTTCATTGACATATTTGCCACTGACTCCCGTATATGCCAAACGAGGTCGCCGGCTTTGAAACGGTTCCTACGTGATGACTAAAAAGGGAGGGAACGAACCGATTCATTCTAAAATGCGCATTGCGATCCGTGCGGTATGCGAAAATGTCACCAACGGGGACAGCAAGCTGACACAACACGAAGCTAACTAGGTTGTGAATATGGTAAACCACACACTTTTTTCACATCTTCATTGACATACCGTACAGTACCTGGTACCTGCTTCACTACCTGTTCCGACGCGCTCCCTTCAAATCTCACTTCTTGTATCATTGTATTCACGAACCATGACAAACTTATCTGGAGGTCGGATAGCGCTTCTTTTCCTCTCCGCCATACATTTTTGTGTGACTATTGAGGTCAGCGCAACTGGGGACGTTTCGGACGCTTTCCATGCTTATCGCGCGTCCCGATACGGGAAAATGCCGGACGATGCAGAATCGTCGGCTGGAGTGAGGGGGGGCACAAGCATTGGTGGAATCTATCGCGGCGAAGCGTCGTCCGTTAACTCCGAGCGAGACGAAGAAAAAATTGGGGAAACGAAGCCTGTTGGGTCGACGAGAGCGGGCATGAATGATATTGTTGATATTGGACATAAACCGGAGTCGTGTGCAAAAGCTACCGAAAGCATCCTTGCGATGAATGAGGATATACGTCTGGAGGTATCTGCCGTTGATAAGCGATACCTGGAGAATGCAAGCATCGAGGATGTGTGTGATCAGCACGGTAAAGATTCGAATTGTAGCTTCGATTTCCGTCGCTTTCCAAGCAAACTCCAAGACGTGTGCGAACGGCATGGAGATAAATTCTACGAAACAGAACATTCGATACAGTGCTACAACGCCAAGACAAAGGAAAGCTTGTATTATCAATTTGATCACTACCCGGGTTGCTTCTCGGCGGCCTGCGAAGAGCTAGATGTCGAACAACTGATGGCTGACAGAATAGAATCGATCACCCAAATCATGTCGGGATACTTGGGAATGACTTGTTTTGCGGACGATGAAATTCTGAGGCACGCAGACGAGTATAGCTCAATGCAAGAGAGCTCAATGCAAGAGAGCTCCGGGGTTCTAACAACATGGCGTGGGGTTCAGATGTTGCCTATTGCAGTCTATTTACTCTTATGAAGGGGCCAACTGGAACAATCAATTTTAAGGGACAAGCTACTGTACTATTTTAAATTTTGTAAAGTATACATAATTCAAACATTCACATCTTAATCTTAGCATTGCTTCTTGTGTGGATTTCGAAGACATGCTTCACGAAACAATAGTTTCATTGAAGAAGGGCAATGACATCACCAATGACAATGGGTAGGTCCAGAATCTGGAAAAGCTCTGCAGAGGTTAAAGGGCTGGAAGTTCGACATCAAAAAGGAAATACTGTACTACACATATTCTATCCTTGCAACAATTGTCTTCTCTAAGTTGTTATCATGTTGCATTTGAACCAAAGGCGTTAGAGAACAAAGAAGACACATGTTCCGATAGGTAGTACATACTAGCTAGACGTTGAAAACTCATTTTTCTGTTGGGGTTATTGCCACTCTATGTCGTTGTCGCTGAAAGCCCGCCCAGCTTGCTTCGATGTCCAGCGTTGGGACTTTTAGCGCCCACAAGCGCCACAAGAAAAATGATCTTCCCGTTCGACGCACGTTCCAAATCTGTGACCCAAATTAAGCGCCACTTTTTTCCGTTCGTTGAAGGGCTCCAATAACGTATGTTTTAGGGGTACAAAGCTACATAAGTTCGATATTATGAATCCCCCTAAAATTCCCCCAATAGACCAATAATTCATCCCTCCGTGTCCTGGAGTCAAACACAACCCATCAGATGTCGATTTTGAGATTTTGGAAATAGAGTAGATTTTGATGAAAAATGTTGGATCATGAAAACAATTTCACTTGACGTCCGAAGAGGAGAGTTGATCCTTGGCGTTCTTACTCTGACTAATTCCTTATTCTCGAGTGATTTGTATCTTGTTGACACTGTACTAGACCATGTCTTTGCGAGGCCGCTACGTCATTGATCGAATTAAAGGTGTTGTCTCGAAACATTTCCGTTTGCCGTGTCCACCTTACGGGGATCCTGCCTATTGGGACAAAGCTTACACATCGTGTAAGTTTCCTTACCCGTTCTTGTGTATAGGATATCGACCAGACGTAGGATTGATTGTGTTTGTGGAAACGAGCTAACTCGTGTTTTTACAAATTTCACAATGCTGCACGCGGAATGTGCCTGGAAAACAGTCGGACCAGATGATTCTTACGAATGGGGAGATGTTTCGTTATCAGATCTAAAAGAATACGAGTATCGCCCCATCGAGTGGGATGCTAAAAAATCTACGTCGTTCCCTTCGGATCAATCAATCCAGTCGACGCTAGCGGCCTCATTGAATGTTGCTTCGTACGATTTCAATTCTATCGAAAACCAAAGGCAGCAATCTATTCTTATGCTGGGATGCGGCAACTCAAAGCTAGGCGAAGAAATGGTAGTAGAGGGAGGCTTTAAGGGTCCTCTCATACAGGTAGATGTATCCAACAATGTGGTCGAAACCATGCGCCAGCGATGCAGTGATTTGGTGTCAAAAGGATCCATGAACTTTGTGCAGGACGACGCAACCGAGTTATCGGCGTTCCGGGACGGAATGGTGGATGCGTGTCTCGACAAGGGCCTGATCGATGCAATATTTTGCGCAGAAGGTACGAATGCGAAGTGAAACACACGAATTGAAATCCAGAGTGTCATCCAAAATTTCTCTCTCTCTCTGACAACCAAGAACTTTCTTTCGCACAGACTTCCACCAACTGCACCAAATACAAAACACGGTATCGCGGGTATTGCGTCCCGGGGGTTGGTTCGTGTTCTTTTCGTTTTCCCGACCCGAGTTTCTTCTTCCCAAACTAATGATGATGGACGAGGGTGCCTCGGCGTCGGTTCGGATCCAAAAACAGATGGCCTGGAAGAACGTCGAGGTCCAGCAGCTGCCAAAGATATTGCTGTACAAAATGCAAAAACTCGAGGACATCGACCCCGTCGACGTTTATGCAAACAAACGGCTGCGGAAATCGAAAGCAAACATCAGAAAAGCACCACGGCGATGAACCCCACCCCTATTTGGCAAAATCCAGGAAACAAACAACAACGGCAAAGAACTGAAACTACCAATAATTGAAAATTGCGTCCCGGGGTCTGCGCCTAGAGCCAGAGGACGCATTCTTTCAAAAAGCATTCGCATAGTAACCCATCGCTGCGACAATCTTTGAATTCGTTCTGCAACGACAATACTATCATATTATTTTCTTGTGTGGATTCCTAGGTTTGGTTCGCGTGGCAGACCACTACCAACGAATTCCATCCAAAAAAGTTTGCATTCTTCCCCGTCCCCGTGTGCCGTGCCTTCTCGGCCTGTCTCTCGTGCGTCGCGAATTGGTTCCCGGGAAACCCCGGTCCGGCGGCTAGTAGGAGAACCCCCCGTGCTGGTTCGAGCGGTCGGTCCGGTGTACACTCCCGGGCGAGTCCCGGAGGATCGAGAGCTGCTCGATGTTGGACATGGTCAGCTCCTCGACCTTGACCAGGGCCGACTGCGCGATCTTCTTGGCGTTCGTGAGCTCCGACTCGGTCTTGTGCAGCTGCTCGCCCAGCCGGACGACCTCGGCCCTCCGCTCGATCTCCTCGGCCTCCTTCTGCCGGAGCGCCTTGAGGAGCGCGTGGTTCTCGACCCGGGCGTCCTCCAGCTGGTTCTGCGTCACCTCGTACAGGCTGTTGAGCTCCACGAGCCGGTGCCTCGTCTTCGCCTCGTTGTTTTGCTTGTTTCCGCCCTCGGTGAGGTCGTCCAGTGCGTCGTGGAGCTCCGAGTTCTCGAGCTCCAGCTGCCGGACGGTCTCCTCCAGCTCCTCCTTGATCTTGGCGAGCTCCACGCCGCCGTCGATCGCCCTGCCCCCGACCGTCGACCTCGACTGGTCGTCCACCATCTCTCCCATCTGCAGCTGGCGGAAGCGCTTCCGGAGGTTCCGGAGCTCCTTGGAGGTTTCGTTCTTCTCCATCTCGGCGGCCTCCAGGTGCATCTGGAGGGGCTTGAGCAGGCCCAGGGCCTCCTTGAGCGACTTGTTGAGGACGGTGTTGGCGTGTTCCTTCTGGGCCAGGTCCCCCCTCGCGGCCTCCAGCTCCCGCTCGAGCGAGGACGCCGCCCGGGAGGAGCCCGCGTGCGACGACGGCGACGAAAGCGGCCTCGCCCGGTCCAGCTCCGACCGGAGCCTCCGGATCTCCTCGTCCTGCAGGGAAATGGTCTCGGTGAGCTGCGTCGTCCGGGTCGTGTCCGCGTCGCTCTGCTGCCCGTGGTCCGATCCGGCCTGCTTGCGGATCTGCCCCTCGAGCTCGCGGTTCCGGGCCGAGATGTCCTCGTTCTGGTCGTGCAGGGTGCTGAAGCGCGACTGGGCGTCCTTCAGGAGCTTCTGCAGGTTGTCCTCGCTCTCGCGCTTCCGGCGGAGCTCCTCCCGGGCCCGCTTGATGCTGGCCAGCGACTCGCTGTCGTCGCTCGTCGAGCTGCCGGGCCCGCCAGCGGCCTGGTGCGCCTTGAGGAGGGACTCCCGGACGCTGGCAAAGCGCTTCTCCTCCTTCAGCTGGTCCTGGAGGGCCGAGACCTGTCCCTCGAGGGTGCTGATCCGGATCGACTTGTGGGCCGCCTCGTCCAGGGACGACCGCTGGTCCCGCTCGAGGTCCTGCATGGTCCGCTGCATCGCCTTCTTCTCTTCCTCGGCCGCCGCGACCGCGTCCTGGAGGGGCTTGAGGAGGGAGACCGCCTCCCGGAGGGACTCGCGGAGCTCCGCGTGGACCTCTTGCTTCTTGGAGAGCTCCTCCCGGGCGGCCTCCGCCTCGCCCTCGAGCCGGTCGATCGCCTCCTTCTGCTTCTCCCGCTCCTCGCTGCCCGCCTTCTCCCGGTCTAGGGCTTCGGAGGAGGCGGCCTCGAGCCAGCCCTCAAGCGCCTCCTGGACGAGGGAGACGAGGCGATGGGGGTCGCTCCTTAGCGAGGCCAGCTGTCCGTGGTCGAGCCTGGTTTCCACCGGCCCCTCCTGGTAGACCCACCGCAGCAGGTGCTGGAGGGACTCGACCAGCTGGTCGTCGGCGCCGGTCTTGCTGTTTTCCCCGACCCGGAGCTCGTCGTCGACGGCCTCGAGTTCCTTGAGGGCCTCGTCGAGGCAGGACTGCAGCTCGGCGCGCTCCGACTCGAGCTGGTGGATCTTTTGCAGCAGGTCCCCGTGGGCGGAGGACAACTCCGGCGAGTCGTTGGTGCTGTTGTTGTTGGTGTTGTTGTTGGTGTTGCTGCCTTGCTGCTCGCGCTCGTGCTGCAGCTGCTGCTTCGCCCCCGCCAGCTCGGACCGCAGCTCGCCGAGCTCCTCGTTCCAGCCGGCCTCGGCCTCCTTCCAGCGCGACCGGCACTCCTCCAGGTCGTTCGAGAGGGCCCCGGCGTCCTGCTGGAGCTTGGCGATCTGGCGCTCCTGGTCCTGGACGCGGAGCTCCCAGGTGTACTGCTCGGCCTCGAGCGTGTCCTCGAGCTCCTTGCGGACCATGTCGGCCGTCAGGATCTGCGCGTGGGCCCGGTCGAGCTGGACCTGGAGCTCGCCGACCCGGGCGTTCTTGCTGTCCTCGCGGCTGTGGAGGCTTCCGTCCCGGTCCGGGTTGTTATGGTTGGTGTTGTGGCTGTTGTTCTTGGCCCGGGCCTGCTCCAGCTGCTGGGTAATCTCCCGGACCTGGGCCTGGAGCGACTCGATGCGCTGCTGCTGGGCCCTGCTGCCGCCACCGCCGTTTGCAGCGGCGTTTTTGTTGTTGTTGCTGCTGCTGCTTCCGGAGGCGGCCTCCTTGGCCTTTTGGAGCTCCGTGGCCGCGTCGGCCTTTTCGATCTTGAGGAGCTCGAGCTGGCGCTTGAGCTGGCGCTGGTTCGACCGGAGGTCCATGATGACGGCGTCGCTCTTGGTGAGGGCCGCCCGGGCCGAGGCGTCCCGGGCCCTGGCCTCCTCCAGCTGGTCCATCAGCTGCCCGGCCGTGGGCGTTTGCGTTTGCGCCTCCTCCCCGCCGTACTGGGCCCGGCGGCCGGCCGACGAGGACGACCGCTGGCTGCGGCTGTGGCCGCTGTGCTGGTCGTCCATCGGGGAGCCGCGGCTGTGGTGGCTCCCCCCGGGGCTCTGGCCCGGGGTGGAAAGCTGCTTGCCGCTGGCCGGGCTGGAGGACCCCCTCGTGGACTTGGGAGAGGGGAGACGGGAGGCGTACTTGCCGATATCTCTCATGCTGTTGTTGTTGTTGTTGTTGTTGTGGTGGTGATGGTGGTGGTGTCGCTGTTGCTGTCGCTACTACTGTTTCGTTTCGTTTCAAATGTCGATGCGGATTCTTTGTTCGTGTCTCGGGCACTGCAGAATCGGTTTGCTGGGTCGGTTGCCTTTCTCTGCGGTTTGCCCTTCCGAAACGAGTCACCCCAAACGCCTCGTACTACGCTCGAAGTGAACGGTGCCTCTCTCTCCGCAGCAAAAAAAGACTTCCGCCGCCGACAGGGAAAGGAATGCCAAAAGGGATGTGCTTCGGCTGCCGGCGTCGTGTTTCGACGAATAAGGGTTTTCCTTCGATGCGTTGCGATTCCTTTGTCTGGGTTGCTCGGTGCCTAGCTAGTACCTGCTGGGGCTTTCTTTCTCTGCGTGGTGGTCGGGTTCGATGGATTCGTTCCCCGATGGACTTCCCTCGGTGGCCTCGTTGTTGCAATGCCGCTGGATCGGTGCGGGGGGAGTCGAATGGAACGATGGGAGGGAGTGGCGATCGGATCGGCCAGGCCTTTCCCGGCTCGGAGGAAAATGGAATCGCAGGGTTGGGAAGGAAACGAACCACCCCCCCGGGGGGGGGGAGTGGGAGAGGTGCGCCACAACGGGGCAATCCCTTCGTACCACCCTACCTACCTAGCTACGGCACAACGAAGCACGAGCACGAGTAAGTGGCACGAGAACCGAGAGCGAGAACGAGTGCGCCGGCCCGGTGCGGTAGCACGAGACCCGTACGGTAGATTGTACCGTTCGTACGCACCGTAACGCAGCACGCGACACCCTTCAGAACGCAAAGCGTTTGGTCTGGTCTTTTGGGTCCTTTTCGGTTCGGCTGTTCCGTTGCTCGTACGTTGCGTACCGCGAGTACCCGGTACCGTACGCGTGCTGCGACCGGTCGTTCGGTGGATTTTTCGACCCATTCGAATCATTCGATCCAGGACCCTTCCGATTCGGCTTGGCGCTCCGAGGCCGGGCCAGTCGTGCGTGCCACACCTACCGTCGACTCGAAGGAATGAATGAATCCATCCATCCCGAAACCGACTCCTCCTCCGTCTCGCTCCGAGCCACCCACATCAACTCCAAAACCGACAACGACAACGACAATCCGGGTGTCAAACAAATTCCATCCTCGTATCGTTTCCAATTCCTTCTCCGCGATCGAACATCGACACCGTCCTCCTTCGCTGGTTCGACTTCTCCGCACAGAAGATACAAAGCACAACACAACACGCGACAATACAATACAACACAATACCATACCATACAATACCATACACGACACGACACGATACAACACTCCGTTTTCTCACGCACGGACCGACACGGACCGCGTTCGGTCGTCGTTTTTGGGTCCCCTCCGCCATGAGCCGGCCGGCCCTCTCCCTTTTCCGGCACCCCCGGAGCCTGCTTGGGCAACGAATCGCCCGGCCCGGATCGGGTGGCCACCGGGCGGGAAGCGGAAGCGCTCTCCGGCGGTGGCGCGACGGAGGCACAAGCACGCAAACGCCGGAAGCGGAACGGAGGAAGCACCTTCAAACGCGCTGCCTCGCCACCACCCACCGGCGGGCCCAGCGGCAGAAGCAGAAGCAGCGGTCCAGGGGGGGAGGAGGGGAGCGGGCAGGCCCCGGGCGGCCGAAGCGGTCCGGGGGCCAACCGCACCGGCGACGCCGGGAGGAGCCCGAGCTTGCAATCCGTCCCCCGCGGAACTACATGAAGAAACTCCCGAAACCGAGCGAGCAGGAGACCGCCGTTCCGCCGGTGTTCCTGGCGCCCACCGCCTCGCCCTTTGTCTACGTTTCCAAGGCGGCCCTCGGCGACGACTACGCCAACGGCGACAGCGACGGCGACGACGACGACGGCGACGACGACGACCCGGAGCCGCCGCTGGACCCGTCCACCCTCTTTTCGGAGGTCTACCACCCTTCCACCGGGGCCCCCGTGCCTCCCCCCCTGTTTGCGCAGGGGGAGTTTTCCTATTTTTCTCCGAAAAAGGACCTCGGCTACGAGTACCCCAAGCACGGGGCCCCGGAGGTCGCCTTTCTGGGCCGGTCCAACGTCGGCAAGTCCTCCCTGATCAACGCCCTCGTGCGCAAGCCCCTGTGCCTGGCCTCGCGGGTCCCCGGCCGGACCCGTCTCCCACACTACCTCGGCCTGGTTCCGAGGGGAGGCAAGGGGCCCGCAGGGGGCCGCCCCGACCCGGCCCTGGTGAGCGGCTTTCTGGTGGACCTCCCGGGCTACGGCTACGCCAGGGCCCCGGCCCACGCCTCGGAGGCCTGGCAGGCGGACACCCAGGACCTCCTGCTGCAGCGCTTCCAAAGGGAAGGGGTCCTGAAGCGGGTCTTTCTGCTGGTCGACGCCCGCCGCGGGGGGGAGGGCCCGAGCGAGAACGACCGCTTCGTCCTGCGGTGGCTGGAGGACGCGGGCCTGCCCTACACGGTCGTCCTCACCAAGGCCGACAGGGTGGCCGTCGAGGCGGTCGTCAGGCAGGCCAACGACTTTTGCCTGCGGCACGCCTCCTTTGGGGCAAGGGGGGGAGGCGCCGCCCAGTCCCCGGTCGTGCACGTGACGTCCGCGGCGAAGGGGTGGGGGATCCACGAGCTCATGCTCTCGGTCGAGGCCGAGTTCCTGGGGGGCGGGTGAGCCCGGTGCGGCGATGGCGAGCGAGCAACGAGCCAACGAGCCAACCCACAGCGCGGCCCGGAGGGGGCCGAAAATGGGGGACGGGCAGCTGGTTTCGAGGCCGCCGGAATGCCCTGCCGTGCCGTGCCACGCCACACCGGAACCAACCAAACGACTGCTGTCCGCAGCGTAGTTCAGTAGCTAGCTAGAACGAGTCGGGTGATGGTAGCAACTGTATTGCATTGTATTGTATTGTATTGTATTGTATTGTATTGTATTGTATTGTAGAAAAATATTTCTCAAAAGCTTTCGTGTTCGGCACACTCTACAAGTTAGCACTCGTACTCGCATTTCTGCTTGAGAAAACACAACAAATAGGCGTTCCCGCAATTCAATAGAAGAGGTGCGGTAGGTACCGTATGGTCATAGACCATAAAGAGTATGAATACGGCACTCGTTCGCAGCTTCGTCTTGGTTCTCCACCTGCGCTGTACGATACCGTACACTGTACAGTGAATCGTTCTAGTACGGCACGTACGTTCGAGCACTATTGTAGTTCCTTACGAAAAGGATTCTCTTCTACGGTAGGTATTTACGTACGAGTACCGTACAAATCAGTCGTCTAGTACCGTACACAGATACTGTACAACGGATGGAGACGCATCTCAACGCGTCCAAAAAGTCTTCGGTAGGTTTCACACGCAACATTGGATTAAAGGATGTGCGGGGTCATTATTATCCTTCGGATCTTCTGCGGTACGAACGGTAGGATTTGATTTCGGTGGTGCGCGTTTCTCTCTTTCCCAAACCGAACGAAGATTGTCGCACAGGCCGGAGTGCAGCTACGACAGAAACGCAAGACCCAGCTAGCCCTTCGCTGCGACTCACACCGGTTTCCAAACGGAGCACCTTGTTGGGAACCGACGCTATTCTTTTGTTCCATCGATTGAAACCCCGACATTCGACGACATTTTCCAGAGCTACAGCAGGAACGACCGGATTCTGCAGTTGTGTTCGGTAGCTTGTTTCGTTTTGTTCCATTCGATTTCGTTCCGTTCCGTTCCCTCCCATCCGATTCCCTCCCGATCCAAGGCACCCTCCCGCCAACGATGATCCGTATCACCGTCTCCGACCCCCGCATCGAGGATCCCGACACGAGGCACAGCTTCGCCTCGTACCTGGTGTCGACGCCCGAGGGGAACTCGGTCCGGCGCCGGTACTCGGACTTTCGCTGGCTCTACCACCGGCTCCAGACGGAGGTCCCGGGGGCCCTCGTTCCAATCATCCCGCACACCCGGACCCTCCTGTCGTCCAAGAAGTTCACCCCCGAGTTCCTCGAGGAGCGCCGGAGGGACCTCCAGGACTTTTTGCTGGCGGTGGCCCGCCACCAGGAGCTCTGCCGGGCCCCGTCCATGACCCCCTTCATGCTGCTCCCGCTCGGCAAGGACTTTGACGACGGGAAGAAAACCGTGGAGCACGCGGTCCCCACGGAGGCCACCAAGTGGGCGGAGGAGATCGCCGGGACCTCCGAGCCCGCCAGCAAGGCCACGGTGGCGGCCAAGGGGATCGGCAAGCTCTTTTCCAAGATGCGCCTGTCGTCGGGCTCGCAGGAGCTGCTGACGACCCCGGACGAGGCCGAGGTCGTCGCCCTGCACGCCTACGTCTCGGAGGTCAGCGAGCAGGTCAAGAGCCTGGCCAGGGCGTCGGATGCCCTCGTCAAATCGACCCTGAAGAACGCCGAGGCCCACCACGAGCTCGGGATCCCGGTCGGCCTCTGGAGGACGTCCTACCTGCAGCAGCAGCAGCACGGAGATCAGAACGAGGACGCCAAGAGTGCAATGGCGGGCATCTGCAGGTTTTCCGACGAGATGGCCACCCTGCTCCGGCAAAAGCACAAGGAGGAGGAATCCCTCTTTGGCCACGGCATCCACAAGCTGGCCAACACCGTGTCGGCCTTTGAGATCGCCCTGGGCCAGCGCAAGAAGGCCCAGGTCGCCTACACCCACTCCAACAACAGCTTCCTCGAGAAGACCGCCGCCCTGGAAAGGGCGCAGAAGGCCCCGAAACCCCCGGAGGTGACGGACAAGCTGGCCAGCGAGCGGGCCGAGCTCGAGGCCCGGATCGAGGCCGACCGGAACCGCTTTTGCGAGGTCACCCGGCGGCTCCTGAGGGACGCCGAGGCGCAAAAGCCCGGGCTGGTGGGGATGCTCCGGGACGCCGTTCTGGCGCACGCCCGGGCCCAGGTCTCCTACACGGCCCGCATCCACGAGGCCTGCCAGCGGATGATCCCTTCCCTGGAGGCCCTTGGCGCCGGAAGCCCGCCCCGCCTTCCGTCGGCTCCGGCGGAAGCAGAGTCCGAGAGCGGCCCGCCCCCGCCGTCGGCTCCTCCGCCGCCGCCGCCGAGCGAGGACGGCGAGAGCTAGGCAGGGACCGCCAATGATGGCGCGGCGTGGCTCCGCTGGGCTGCTCTTTCCACGCGGCGCACAGACATAGAAGGGTAGCTGTAAACTAACTATACGGATGAAACGCAAAAAACTGAACTACTGTAGTGTATGGACGGATTGGAGCGCTTGGGAGGCGATCGGAGAAACTCCCCGTGCCAAACGAATGGCTTGTCGTGTGCCGTGGTGGCCTTGTGCTCGCCGCAAAGGATCCCCATCCCGCGCGCTTGTCGAATCCTTTGCCTCGTCTGTCTTAGTGTCCGGGGGACGGCGGGCACGCACGGCGCCTGTACCGAGCCGCACCGTTTGCTTGTTCTTTCGCCGGTCGCTCGGCCTTTTTCTCGGCCTTTTTCTCGATCGATCGATCGCTCCCTCACGCGGGATCGGCCCGGCTCCCCAGGGGCTCGGTGATTCCAGAGCGCTCCATCACCGATTGAAAGACGCCCGGGTTGTGGAATCCCTGCTCGCTCTTGATGGCCTCGGCCCAGCTTTTGTGGCTGCCGCCACAAGGTGCGACCAGCGCCGCCAGTTGCTTAAACCGAAACCGCTGGTGGTGTTGTTTGCTCCCGATGGATGCCGTTATTGTCTCGGGCGAACCTTTTTCGCGGTGGCGGGGAGCTTCCCGCGACAAAGAGTCCCTGCTCCGATGCACCATGGACGACGACGACGACGGACTCGTGGAACCGCTCCGCAGCGACGCCAGCCGCGGAAACGGAAGGCGGTGCCGTGCCAGAAACAAACGGCTGCTGCTGCCGCCGCCGTTGGTGTCGTGGTTCCCCTCGTTCCCGCCGCGGCGGGGCTTCTTGGAAGCCGGTTCCGCGGGAGAGCCGCCGCGGCCCGCTTGCCCCCGGTGCGCAGCGCCCTCCGACGACGACGAGCACGAACCGTCGTCGGCGCCCCCCCCCAGCAGCAGCGCGAGCCCTGCCGGCTTTGGCTTTGGCTTTGGTTGCTCTTTTTGTGGTCCCGGCTCTCCGGTCTCGCCGTCCCTGTTCCCGGAAGCCGGGGAGGGACCGTCCTCGGAGTCCGACGACCCGTATCCCGCTAGCAGGTCCATGTTGATGGTAGTGTATTTGTTCATGGTTTGCGCTGTTCCAAAGTTTCGTAGTTCGTCAATTTTTTCACTTTTGGATCTGCGGCACTCGCACGGTAGCGTAGCGTAGCATGCAGTACGGTAGGGTAATTCTTATTCGTACAACAGGACAAATCCTGCCCTCCGGGCGAGAAATTCAACTCTAACCCTAACCTTAAAATAAAATCAATGACCAACCGACACGCGCGGGGACGCAGAGAATTTGAAATTCAAGTCCTTCGAACTGAACCAAGTAACGGCTGGGAACTATCGTACGGTACAACATCAGTTTTGTGCGACGAGGTGGATCAACACCAAAACCCGTTTGTTCTATTCCACAGCCGTACTCTCGTACAGTACCGCTACTGCAAACATTCCTGTTGCCATTGCGAATCGCATCGGATCGTGCCGCCTGACATTGCCGTGCGGTCTTCCCGAGATAGGTCAGCAGGCCCGCAAAGACTAACCAGCCATCCAACGAATCACCATGACGGCTTCCAAGCGAAAGAACGAGAACGTGGACTACGTCACCCACGAGCTGACCAAAATGGTGATTGTAAACGACAGCAACCACCAAGAAAACGAAAACGAAAACGAACAAGGACCCCCCAACCAGGGCGTCCACCCGACGGCGAGGACGCCGATGGAGCGAATGAAACTCCTCCGCGAAAGGTGGGGAGCGGCCGGGGGGCCTTTCGCCGTTGGCGCTTCGGAGGGCGGAAGGGACGACGAGATCGCCCTGGCCATCGGCTCTTTCCTGGAGGGCGGCGCGGCCGAGGAGGAGAGAGAGTCCGAAATGCTCGGGCGGGCCGAAGAAGTCCGGGCCGGGCTGGCCCACCAGATCCAGCGGGCCAGGGAGCTCTACCGGGAGGAATCCAGCGACCTCTCGGACCTGTCCAGAGAACTCGGCGGCCTCAAGGAGGAAAAAAAGGCGCTGCTGCGGGAGATCGACGAACTCGAAAGCCGCCAGCGCGCCTCGCAGGAAAACATCGCCGTTTACCAGGCGGAAGCGGCGCAGGAGCTGGACGAGATCATGGACGTGGAAGAACAACGAAAGCAGCACGTCCCCCGGTTGAAGATGACCATCTCCCTCTTTGCCTCGACGACGGGCATCAAGTGGGACTTTTGCGACCCCGATCTGCTGTCGGGCCAGGTGGTGCGTGCTTCTTTTGTCGCTTGGTTTGTTTCCGGCCTTTTGCCGCATGGTTTGCGCCCATTGGGTCGTTTCAAAAACCAATCGCATCTCATGTTTTTTGTATTGTCTTTTGTCTTGTATGGCGCGATGGAATAATCGATGGAATGGACTTGCAGGCTGTGCCTTCCCAGAATTCCTTCAAGCTCTTTAGCATTGATCCGAGAGATTATTCGCCGGTGGAAACGGCAAACATTTTGTGGGGCTTGATGGATGGGGTGGAGCCCCAGTAACCTTGTTTTCATGCATGTATGTTTTGGCTGCATCTGAGACGGGGTAATCATATTAGAAAGATGCCGCATCGTGCAAACGTTGTTGTTTTCAACACTCAATAGTGGTTTTGTTTGTAAAAAAATATTCTGGTGTCTCTGTTGCGATGATTCATCAGTACTGATGCCCACCAACTTGATGTTTTTTTATTTTTGGCTTCCGTGGCGCTAGGCAGTTGCGATGGTTGCCCCTGCAACTGCTACGGTATTTTGCGAGTGAGAAATATATTTTACAGGTATACTAGTATGCCATAGCTTTAGACTTCTATTCTTATTTGGTGGACGTCGTAACATAGGCACGGGCCGATTCCTTCACGTGTTCCTGGGTCTCCTCGGTACCGTGTTCTTCTTCCATTCGGTACCATTTCTTGAAGAGGCTCTTCATCTGGCGATCGGACAGTTTGCGCTCCTCCACCTTGCGCTCCAGCATGGACCGGGCGTGCTCGAGGTTTCCAAACTTGCATTCCTTGTCCAGGTAGACAAAGAACAGATCCAATCGCTTGGCGTATTTCAGCAAGAGACCATCGAAAATGGTTCTCCCGCGCTCGGGGCTTCCGAGCTCGAACTCCATCTGGGCAAACCTGCTCATTGTCTCCGCGTGCTTGTGGCTCCCGAGGCTCATCATCGCTCGTTTCATCAGGGCGTGGGCGTCCTTGTCGCGCGACTGCTTCAGCAGGTAACGCATGTGGGCCAGCCACACCGTCTTCTTGGACTTGTGCTTCTTGCACATGGTTGCAAACAAAGCGTCCGCCTTCTTGACGGAAACGGGGTCGTTGGAGGACTGCTCGGCGTCGTTGGCCAGGATTTCGCAGGCCCTCATGTACACCTGTTTCGGGTTGTTCTGCTGGCAGGCCCGATCGATGACGCCCTGGAAGGTCTCGTCGTTGCCAAACTTGTGCTCCAGCGTGAGCAGGGCGGACCACACGTTGAGTTTTTCCTTCTCCTCCCGGAACTCGATGCGCTCCAGGGCGGTTTCGGCCACCTTCCGGGCAGCCGGCACGTCCGCGAGGGAGAGATGGAAGGCCATGTAGCGGATCCACAGCTCCGAGTTGTTCGGTTCCCCGCTCAGCAGGCGCTCAAAGTCGCCGGCCGTCTCGGGGTTGCTGTCGGCGGTACCGTCTGCGAGGGCGGTTTCGCGGCGGGAGGTCTCCTGCTCCTCGAGGCGCTTCTTGGCCTGGCGCTTTCGGGACCTGCGGGAATTCGACTTTTCGTTTCCGAATTCGCCCTCGTCGTCGTCGCTGTCCGAATCGGAATCGCTGTCGTCCGAGGAATCGCCTTCCTTCGCCCCGGCTCCGGAAGAGTTGCTTCCGAGGGCGGCCGCGCCCCAGCTGAAGCCGACGTTGGTATCGAGGACATCCTTTTCGTCGTCGTCGCTCTCGTCGTCGGAGGACGAGTCGTCGCTGCCATCGCCTTCGTCTTCGGAGTCATCTTCGGAGCCCGAGCCGTCGTCGTCGCTGCCATCGTCGTCCTCGTCATTCATTTTGGCAGCGAGCTTCGCGGCGTAATTTTCGTCGTCGGAATCCGAACCATCGTCGGAATCTTGTAGTTCTCGAACATTTTCCATGTCGTCACTTTCGTCGTCGCTGTCTTGCATTTCGATATCGCTATCGACCGACGAGTCGTCGGTATCGGAGTCGTCCTCGAAGTGACTGGCCTTCATGCTTAGTCCCAATCTCTTCGCCTCGTCGTCCTTCTTGACCACGAGAACCTTGACAAGATCCCCAGGACTGTAGAGAGCTTCCAGATCTTTCACGAACTTGTCACTGCATTCGCTCAAGTGCACCAGCCCGTCCATGTTGCTTCGTTCGATTCGAACAAAAACACCGTAGTTAGTGACGGTTTGTACAGTTCCCTTGTACTTCTTTCCTTCCTCGATGTCTTCGTAAGACAAAAGATTTTCTGCCTCCTCCAGAAGGACTGATTCTCTCATGTCCAAATCGGCTTGAATCTTTACGGAATCCTTGGAGTGTCTTCCTTTTTTGGATACGGGTCGAGTCTCTTTGATCTTCCCAACGACAAGCCGCCCCATCGGGAAAGACGCAGTAGGATTCGCAATGTAACCATCGCATAGTTCTCTGAGTGTCGATCTACCTTCAGCAGTTCTTGAGATGCGAACAAAGCACCCTTTGTTTGTCGTTTGTAACACATATCCCTGGACTACATCTCCCGTGGTCGGTGCGGGGTCATCTTCGAGGTCTCCACTGATTCGACTGGAACGCAAACTTACGTCTACGTGTTTTCCGCTCGAGTCTTTACCAAGAACTCTGCATTCAACATACTCCTTGTTGACGTAATCACTGTACCATTCGATCAAGAAAAAGGTAAAGAAAAAGCAGAATGTTAGACAAATTCTGCGGGTAAAATGAATGTAGGAGGTAGTTCATCGCGACTGGTCTTAGGTTTAGACTAGCATCTCCACACCAACAACCAATAATAATATTTGCGCCGTTCAGTAGTTCCGAGGAACTACGCTTCACAGTTGATTCACGAATGTGTATATAACCGTTCCGCAGGTGCACTTGTCACAACATCGTATTCCCAAATAATTGCACTTACTCTTCGACTTCAGTATTCTCGCCATCGCCATCTCCCTCGTCCATGGCATCATCGTCATCACTTTTTTCTTTCTTCGGTTGTCCCAATGGCATGTTCACCCATTCATCTGGTTCTTCCAGTTCGGTAATGCAGCATCGACCAACGGCTCCACGCAAATTCAGCATTAAGGAAGGAGCAAGAACGGACTTCATATCCTTATTGATCCTTCCAATCACAAGATCTCCGGCAACAGGCTTCGGAATTTGGGCAGATTTTGTTTCGCAAGCCAATACTGACAACATGATAAATGGATCTTTGGAAGCGCCCTTGCTTTGCACTTTGATCACACGGCACTCGATCGCTGCTCCCAAGGGAACATGTGACTCTAAGTCGTTCAACACATTTGTGTCGCGCGAAAGCTCCAGACCAGAAACAAATCCCCGAAGTTTTGGACTTATTTGGACGAAGATGCCGTTATTGTCTTTGGCAAATGCTGTGACGATACCCGTAATTTTCATTCCTTGACTGAGATCAGAAGCTTTTTCGATAAAAAGAGGTGCGTCGGACTTTTCCGAATCAATCTTCTTATCTGTAACCCACACTTTGACTTTGTTTCCTGAGGTTTGAATAGAAAGGACGGTCAAATCTTGTAGCTCTTTACCGGCTTTGAGATTGTAGAAAGGGTGGTTTTTGGTAACATCAGGAGACTGTTTGCGAAGGGGCTTTTTGCGTTCTTTGATGACAGAAAGCTTGGAATCTTTATCCGAACAATGCAGGTAAACACTCTCTTTATTAGGACCCGTTCTTAGGGATGCTTCTAGGAAATGAATGTTCGTCAGCTTTGCCTTGGAAATCTTATCACCGACCTTGAAGGATGTATTTATCTTCTTAGTGTCAATGGAAGCAATATGGTCTGATCCCGAAACGGTTTCGAGCATGATACGGTGGGGAACGACGGAGTCATCGATGACCGCAATCTTGGTGACCAGGGTATCGTAAAGATGGAGCTGCAAGCCGCCACTCTTTTTCGGCACCAAACCCGTCATGCCGTCCAGAAATCGCACAAAGGCACCGTGGCGCGTGTCAACCTGGGCCACGAAACCGAGAAGATAGGCACCAACGAACAAACGTGTGCTAGGCGATGGAACTATTGGAACCTTTTCGGGATCTGCTCCCTTCGCATTCGATTGATTTTCAATCGTTTCGATGAGCTTCTTTCGGAGAGACACCACCGGCATCGATCCGATTCCACTAGCATAGTCAACATTTGACTTTTGGGGATCCACTAACACCAAGCCTTGCTGTTTGATTTTCTTTCCGACGGTTAACACACGCTTGGCAAGAGCATCTAGGTTTTCTACGTTCAGGATATCGACAGGTTCAAAACTATCTGCCAGGTTGTTGTAGGGTAGTTTGCACTCGATGTTGGATAGCATCTTGGCCTTGCCAAGGGATTTTCCGTCCACCAAATGTTTCGATTTGATACTAACGATTGCGTATCCGGGTACATAACCACCAGATTTCTTCGGCTTGCCGTTGACGAGCTCGACAATCTTCATTGATTTACCTGGAAGGATAGCACCGGCTCTCAGGCGTACTTGCTGGGGATTGTGAATGTCGACTTCGTCCTCATTCATTGCATCGTCGTCGTCATCACCGCCGTGAACCTTGAGACTAAGAACCAATTCAAAGTGTTCGCGACCGCCAGAGGACTGCATTTCAACATCGTCGTCTCCATCCATTTCACTATCTTCGTCGTCTTCTTCGAATGATTGCTTTCGAGTAACTTTCTTCACCTTGACGATTCGGGTCGTGACAACATCGCCGACGCTATACGTCTCTCTGTGATCTTCCACTCCTAAATCCGCTGCCAAAGACCGCGCCGTGACTTTTCCGTAAACCTTGTTGCAAAAGGTGATGCTGAGGCCCTGGTCGTCTACCCTAGATACGAATCCTACGGCGATCTGACCGACCTTGGCATCCGAATAATCGGTAATGATCTGTTCCTGACTCGCTTGGACAATCGTCTTCTTTGCAGTGACCAGACACTTTTTCCGGATGGGATCCACCCACAAAACCCTCACGTCGACCTTGGCATCGACGGCGTATTTTGTTTTGAAAATCTTTTGCCTGTATTCCGAAGAATTCTTCGACACTACGTCAAACAATTGAGCGGGAGGAATGAGTCCCGAGACCTGGTGCGAGGACGACGGGCTCTTCTTTTTCTTTCCCTTGCTTGATCTGCTGCTTCCTCCTCCCAGCTGCACCAGGATGCTTCCACCTTGCAAGTGACTACAGATGGGCACCTGTTTGTAAACTTTTCCGGGAACCAGATCGGCATGGGTAAGAACGTGCGCCTTCAGGATGGAGGGGGCGCATCCACCGGTCGCGATTCCTTCCAACCAGTGACCGGTACTCAGAATGCGAACGTCGTGTTGGGTGGAGGGTGCAAATTCCTTGAGGAACTTTCCCTTGACAGACCCGTCGTTGTCTGTCTCGGCCTCCTCGCTCTCGTCCAGTGCCTTGGAAATGTGCACGTATACCTTTCGGATGTGGCTCGTTTCCTCAAAGGCAGAATTCTGAAAGAGGTCGCACGACTTTGCCATGCTCTTGGGCAGCAGCGAGTCTTCTGCAATGTTGTGTTCGGAGGGCAGTGCCAGGAGCGCCCCGATGCCGGGATCCAGTTTCACAACGGTACAGCCCCGAACAATGGATCCGGTGGTGGGGAAGGCCCGGAGGGGATTCTTGGGCTCGCTGGGCTGCGCGAGCGTCAAGATGTGCGGCGCCATGGAGAGACGGATCAGTTTCGTGGGCACGTCGACGGCCAGGATGCGGGCGGTGAAGTGCTGGTGGTTCTGGAAGAGGCCGTCGGCGAGTCGCTGGAAACCACCGTCCGGGCCACCGGCGGCCGCCCCGTCCTTCGCGTTTGGAATCAGCGTCGCTCCCAGGTGGTTCATCTCCATGGCACCCCGAAAGACGTTCCCAAAGAGAGACACGCAGAGACCGTTGTTGGCGATCGCTTCGACCTTCACCTGGACTAGCCAGCCGGGAGTCAGGGACGAAAAGGAAAACGGGACGGTGGTTGTTTTTTTGCTCCCCCCCTTGCCGTGTTTGCCAGAAGCATTGCTCGTGAGGCTCGATACCGTTTGCTTGGCCATGCGCTGCGTGGTTTGCAGCGACAGGGGGAAGACGGTGGTAGCGGATTGTTCCTTGTCCGAGGCGGTATTTATTGGCAGCACCATAAAGTCGTAGATTCGCCCTTGCTGCAAAATGATCGGGCGCTTCGAAACATCGTCGTCTTCCTCGTCTTCGTATTCTTCGTCTTCCTCTAGTATGACATAGTTGTTGTCCTTGTGTTTTCCGCTGCTGCCGACCTGATCGAAGGAGAGAAAGCCGCGTTTTCCGAACCCCAGCTCGACGACGCACCCGTGGTCCTCGACCGAGAGGATCTGTCCCCGTATCGGCACCATCGCCCGCGCCAGGCGGTTTGCGGCGCTCGTCAGGTCGCTCCCGGTGTTGCCGCCGATCTCCCCCGCCAGCAGCAGGCGCGGGTTGACGGCCTGGGGCAGGGCCGACACCTGGATCCGGCGGCGGGGCTTGCCCCCCTTGACGGGTTCCACGGCGATTTTCGTCACGACCACGGCGATCGTCTGTCCGACCCGCAGCGTGTTGGCCAGCGGGTATTTCGGGGTCTGGCCGGGCTTGCCCTGGGGGAGGATGTAGGCCGTCAGGAGGTTGGGCAGGCTGACAATGGCGTAGTGTTCCTGGACTTCCCGGACGCAGGCGAGGACCTTGGTGCCCTTGGCCATCTTCGAGAACCCCAGGGCCTCGATGTGGGTGGTGGTGGACACGGTGGTCGTGCCGCTGTTTTCCTTTTTGTGCTTTCTCGTCGACACCACGACGCCTCCGCCTCCCAGGGGCAGAAGGGAGTGTTTGTTGGCCACGGGAGCATCGTCTGTTTTGCGGCGCTTGGACGACGAGGAGGATTTTCCCTCCTTTGTCTTTTTGCTTCCGAACAAAAAGTCCTTTTCGATGCTCGAGGCCGTCGGCGCTGCTTGCGAAGCGCCCGCCTTTTCGCCGGAAGCTTTTCGTTTCTGGCTGGGGCGGAGCAGCTCTTTGCTGGTGGTCTCTGCGGGCTCGATCTTCTTGGCCGAGTGGCTGCTGCCACGGGGGAAAGAGGTTTCGTCGACCATTGTGTATTATTGATATCGCTGTTGTTTGATATCGGTGTTCTTCTTCTCTTGTTGCGAGTGCGAGTTGGATTCGTTCGCCTCTTGTGGATAAGAGAAGGTAGGAGGTTGCGGTAGAGCGGAAAGATTGTGTGCGCAACCGGCTATATCTCGCTCTCGTGGAATGGTTTGATTGTGAAAGAACAACCGAAGTTGGTTGTTTTTTCAGTGAAAATATTCATGAAAAATCGCACGGGATGCTCTCGACTCCAGCGATGGTCGATCGGAAGATTTTCCGGCGTATTTTTTTATTTGGTTGGTGGATTGCGACTCGAAATGTCTGGCATGCGTCAGTTAGTTTGATTAACATCGTACGCAACAGATCTAAAATACATATGATACCTCCAAATTTCCTGGCCTTCGACCGTAGGGAGGTTTCTACAGAGCGGTTCGTACCGGTACCTGAGCGAGTGTCGTCGGGACCTCCCCTGATTTTCGAGATCCGTCTGTTCGGTGGTGTTCAGGGCAAGCTTTCACTCAGGACAACAACTGTGAAGGCAAGTGCAGCCGAAAGCTGGTGTCTCCACCGTATCTCGAAACACCACCGACACCAAAGTACTTCGTAGCTGCAATTTCATCCAATTGACGCGCTTTTGGCGAGAGCGATACAGACACCGCATCCGAGGATTTCAGCGCTGCACGGTACAGACCGCCACTGCCAAACGAAAAGGCGCATATTGCAACGCATTCCCGACAACAATCCCTGCGGACGCTTCGTTCGTTCTCTTCCGAAGCAATCCAATGAATTCCGCCGTTTCCATTGCGGGCCGCCGGTGGCGCTCCTCCCGGGCAGGCATGGGCCTCGTCCGGCAGAGGCTGGCGATGGGCCTTGCCTCCCCGCCGTCCCTCGACCGTTGCGGCGCATTCGGGTTCAAGGCATTCTCGTCCGGGGACAGCGAACCAACCGCACCAAAAACACCGTCGTCCTTTGCCGTCGTCGACCACTCGAGGGCCTACGAGGCGTCCATGGAGGGACGCCACGGCCAGCAGCTGGCCCTCGCACGGCTGGAGGGAATCGGAAAGGACGACCTGCCCTTTGATCCGTTCGAGGAGGAGGAACGGAAATTTCTAGAGGAAGAGGAGGAACGAGCCAAGCTCCTGGAGGCGGCCGATGGCGAGGGAGGCGATGTCGAAGAAGCCGACGAATTCGGGCTCGAAGAAGAGGACGACGATGAGGAGGAAGAGGACAACGACGATGAAACCACCGGTCGCTACAACCGCGACGGATCGGTGCGGCTCAAGAAATCCGTCCTGGCCACCCTCCGGGCCGGCTACCCGGCGGGCGGCCTCTTTGCGGTCGTCGAGCTCGCGGGCTCCCAGCACAAGGTCACCACGGACGACCTGCTGGTCGTCAACAAGCTCAAGCCCATCGAGAACTACCCGATCGGATCGGTGCACACCCTGACCGACGTCCTGCTGGTCGGGTCCTCCCACCGGACCCTGGTGGGGATGCCCAGAGTCGCCGGGGCCGAGGTGGACGTGATGGTGGAAGAAATCACACAGGACGCCAAGGTGGTCATCTTCAAGAAACGGCGCCGGAAGCACTCCCAGCGGAAGAACGGGTTCCGGCGGGACCTGATGCTGTTGCGGGTCCTGGACGTCCGGCTCCCGGAGGAGCACCGAGACCACGCCCACGTGGGCAGGGACGAGAGCCTCGAGGACCTGGACACGGTCAACCAGAGAATCGGAGGCGACGATGAGGTGTCTCGGTTCGACAACGGCGGTCGATCAATGGCCTCCGCCTAGTCACTACAGCACGAACATCAAAAGGTCTAACCAAATACTTCTAGATTAATTATGAAACAACAAGAATGAATGGGATCGAGGCAATGATACGTATAGAACCTAACTGTAGAACAAACGATTTTTTTCGTGTCTCCCCATGATTCGTGTTGCGATCCGGGTACACACGGTTCAAAGCATTAGCACCACCCATAGGAATACTAGAACTGCTTGAGACACTACTGTTTCCCCTTGTGGACCGGCCAAGCGGTGTAGGCAATCGAGAGAAAGGAGGAAAGGACTCGTCCCTCTGGTGCTGGTGTTTCCTTGCCGACCGGACCAAACCACGAGACGCGGGCAGCTTAACTTTCCTCTTGTAGCTGCAAATGATTGGACTTTCGGTGTGTGGTTGCCGTGGCTCGCCAGCAGCAGGACCGCCATCAGTATTGGCGTGGGAATGCTGGCCTGCTAGCCACGGCGTAAGAACTACTGCTGGTTGTACCGGCTGGCAACGAGAGGAGGGAGCATGGAACGACGAAGGACAAGCAGCAGAAGCACGACGAGAACAACAAGACGAATTTCGAGGAGAGAACGAGGAAGCAAAGAACCCTCGTAGCTAGTTGTTGTAGTTCCTTCCAACCAACCACCCTGAAGGGTTTCCGCAGATCAACAACTGCTTGTTGGCTGTACGACACATCTTACAGAAAGCTCTCCAAATACAGTTTTCGATACCAATTCTCGAGTATGTAAATGGCATTGATAGTGGTTGGGTGGTTGTATTGTTACAAGGCAACAGAGTAACTCTAGTTGAGAATAAGAAATTCAGAAAAAAATTGAGGTCCTGGAAGGAGGAAAAGATGGTACGCTACCTACCATAATATCATATGGACATAATCATAATATTAGTAGCCAAAATGCCTGTCATTCATACGAACTCTTTCGTGATTTCTGCCTCGCTTTCTCAAAAAATAAAGATCCAATCACACTGCAAACCAAACGGCTAAAAACGCGACTATTTCTTCTAATTGGTTAATTTTTAATTCCTTGACAACACGTCAGAAGAATGGTCGGTGACACAGAAAATGTGTTTGATGACAACACAAAGATGTCAAATGAGAACATGGAAGGTGTCAACTAAAGAAAATCGAAAATCGCCCATCCTTCTTCGTAGAAGTTGGGTAGAGCACAAACTTCTGCCATTGAGGTACGAACAAAGCGTTTTCGTTCACATTATGGCTGATAGCACGGCAAAGTGGACGACATTTTTCCCTTTCAGCGACGAAATACATCACTGACCGTGAAGACCCACGAATAAATTCAACATTGAAACCCATGAAAACCCGTGACACTTTGTGACAACCCAACGCTCTGAAAAAGACTCCAACGAACAATCGAATGTTCGCGCCTTTAATTTAGCACTTATTCTGCAACATATTCATTACCTTCCGTCGAAACCACTGTTGGAATAGAATCAATCCATAAAATTAAAATCAATCCGAAAGCAAAACAACGACTTCTACGCCAAAATAACAACTCATTTCCAAAACAAACGACACATCACAATGATAATCGGCGCCCGACCCATCATCATTCCAGCTGCAGGACTCCTACTCCTTTCCGGAATCCTTCATCTGTCCAGTGCATTTTCGGTTCAACCGCCACTCACGGCGAGAGATTATACAACGTCGTCGACGTCAGCGATTGGATACACGATGCAAATGCCCGAATTCGTTGTCACTTTACCCAAGAGCACGTGGTACGATGTTGCAAATCCGACCGCCCGTAGAATAGTTTACGACGAGTAAGTTTTCCTTTCGTCAAGCCGACTTTGCAGTTCCTGTTACATTCGATCGGAAGAAATGTTTTTGTTGCCTGCGCAGTCTAACATATTGGATTTCTTCCTCCCCACAGCGGCCCTACCGACGAGTTTATGTTTGCTAGCGTTGGAAGTGACTGGCCGGAACTCAATGACATCGATATGGAAGAACGGGACAATGAACTGCCCGAGTCGATGCCAAATCAACCCCGACAACCCTGGTCCCGATTCAACCCGTTACGACGCGCTAAAAACCTGATTCGTCGTATTTTATAGAGGGATTACACTTATGGGATTGCCCATTTTCAGTCGCAACAATTTTGAATTGTTCGTAATTGTACAAAATGAAGAGCGTGAATTTGTATTTTATGGTACCGTAAATATTACTATGGCGAAAATTGTATACAAAATAGACGACAATAGAGAACATCGCCCTAAGAAGTGGAACATGAAGCTAAAGAATATATATATACGTGAAGAGAATAAACTAAACAACAATTGAATATGCACAATAGACTTTGGAATTTTGAGTATGTACCATATACTACTTTCTTGAATTCATTGCAAAATGCGTTCTTCACATCCGATGCAACAGAAACATTTTTTGACTTACGATTGAAAGTTGAAAAACAGAGAGAGTTTTGGGAAAGCGTCGCGGAAAAAACTACGTCACTTCTACTTGATGACCGTATGCACGTACCTCCGAACGGCAGATGGGTATGTAGTATGTAAGTTGCGCTGCACCTCTTACCAACGTGCTTCTAGTGTAGGGTACAAAAGGTATGATCCCAACCTATTCGGATGTTCCAACGGAACGGTTCTCTCCACAGTGATGCAGGTTGTTGAGAGTATGATGTACGGTGTTTGGCGTTACCAAGACAGCACTTTAGTACAGCACTACATCACTTCTAAAGGTTTGCTCCTTACGCCCAGAACAAAGACATCTGGGACTGTATCATCACAATGATAACAATGAGTGATCATATTAGATGCTTGGAGAGTACTTGCCTCTCCGCATTATGCTATCTAAAGTTCTGGGTCTTCACAAAAAATGATAAAATCTACGTCTACATGGAATTAGGGCTACTAGATCTACCCAATAGCACATTCCGGCGAGTGCGTCTAGTTTGGGCAAACAAGGAGCAACCAACCCGCTCTCTTCTGTTCTATGAGGATCAGAGATAGGATTCCTTTGTTTATTCTTTCTTTTGACTTTCCTCAAAGTCGCTGTCAAGGGACGGGTCCCCCTCCGCATTGTCCAGCTCTTTCCGTATTTCTTCAGGGCCCATTCGGTAGGTCGTCCCGCAGAACTCACATCTCGCCTCGATTTTCTCCTCCGATTCCAAGATTTCGTCCACCTCACTCCGCGGGATGAGCCGGAGCGCCCGGATGAGACGATCGGAGGAGCACTTGCACTCGAACTCCGGAGAGATCTGCTGAAGGGGCACCATGCCGAGGCCGTCAAGGATGGTTTCTGCGATTTCAAGGGGGGTGACCCCCTTCAGCAGCAGGCCCGTGGGAAGCTTGTTACCGCCGTCCTTCTCCACTAGTTTACCTAGGTTCTTTTCGACGCGCGAAAGCGTTTCGGGCGTCGCATTCGGAAGTTGTTCGATCAGGTAACCGCCCGCTGCGGTACAGAGGATTCCGTTTACCGAGATCCCCGCAGCGAGAGCACACGATCGTTGTTCACTCTCCGCGAGATAAGCTCCTGTAAAACAAAGCAAATACGGTGAGAAACAAACCACGCGTACGATAGACGTCGATTCTCGATGGCTGAAATGTCGTCAATGGATAGTTAGGTGATCTACATACCAATATCCCTGTCAATATCTCCGTGACGAATGGCTGTGATCCCGTTGTAAGGGTTGTTCCAATCCGGGTGGTTTTTGACGACTTGTACCATCCCTTTACCGACCGCTTCGGGGAGTTCGATATCGCCCACCATGGGAGATCCCACATAGGCCTTAACGTGGCCCACTCCATCCGAAATAGCCACAACACCCCGTAGCGGACCATCGGCGTTCAATGTGATTTGGCAGGTTTGTTCCGCCTGCATACCGTTGCTCATCATCAGGGCGCAAACAGCGGTTCTTCCGATAGCATCGGCCGGCACGGCCGTCAGAGTGTGCATAATCATCAGATCATTGACCAGATTACGGGCGGTGCAGGCGGTTACCTTTACGCTCCCGTCCTCCGATATCGCCGAGAACACCTGATCATCTCGGTTCGATGGATTCTCGTAATCCGCCAGCGGGGACATCCCGGTCTCTTTGTAGTCGGCCACGGCTTCCTTCGCTTTTCTGCTATCGCGGTCGCTACTCTTGGCGCCTAGAGGGGGGAGCCCAGACCGGGAAATCTTGCGCAGTCCAGTCGCTCTGTGGAATGGTTCGATCCGACGCAAAGAACGCCCTAGCGACGGAGCAAACCCTCGCACCGAAACAAAGAGAATCTGCATGGATGCAACCAATAACACCAACAATCGGCACCACCTCTCGTAGGTGCGAAACTTGTCCATATTCGTGCTGCTGCTGCGATGTCTTCAGAGCGCTGTTGTGATTGTTGCGCTACCTGTTGAGTCTGCGTTTCGTGCTACAGAGTGCTTTGTTGCTACAGAATAAGAACGAAACACCAGCGATATCTCCAAAAACTTGTCCACTCTTTCATCACACATCACATCGAAAAAACGGCAGCAAACTCAATTATTCGCTCATCTGTCGATGACGATTGAAGATGATGTGTGGAGGTGGAAATCACGACTCGAATGCTCGAGTCGTAAACCGTCCGTAGTCCGTACGGCGTAATATTATTTGCAAGTGTAAACATATTCTTAGTACCACTGACTCGTACCTATCGAAAACAAGGACTGCACTTGCAACTTGAAAGATGCAATCCCAAAGGCTACAGTAATAATTTTTCTTTTGCAGTGCAGTGCCCTGCAAGTGGATGTCAAAACTTGTTGTTCTTGGAAGGTTTGTTATCTTTCTTGCCAATGACAGCAACTACAATGCACCGTTCTTGAGTGAATAAACTTAAAATCTTCTTGTTCTAGTTTTTGTGCTGGGGGGGGCATCTCCTTGTTGTTCTTTTCTTGGAGTAATACTACTACTAATAGTAGTACTTCTGTAGAATGCAATTTACTTGTTGGGCTGTCCTTCATCATCATTTCTCCTCGTCAGGAAAGCCACCAGCACTCATTATTGATGAGAAATTTTCTTGTTTGTGTTGCTGGTACCACAGCCATCACTACAAAAAGAAGAAGAAACAACAAAATCCTTCTTCTTCTGATTTTTCAACAACCTGGTGAAAGCAGAAAGAGCAACAACACCTACTACTAGTAGTAGTTGCTAAGGTTTTGAGTGACTTGCTAATTTCTGGGAAACAACGGCCGTGCTAGAACAAAAATTGATTAAGTCTATTGTGGAAGGGGAATCTGGCGCTGCAAGCATCGACAATTTGCAGCATGACTCATCCTAGAATGATTGGTATCAGAACAAACAGACATTTCCCTTGAGCTGATGGGATTGGGCACTTTCTATCCCAAATTCCTCCTTTCATTTTCATTTGGTTTAAAGTGCTGTTACACAACAAAAGACAAAAAACGAAACTGTTGTTTGATCTTTGATCACATGTGGTGCCAACTTATTGCCAATTTTCGATTTCCGAAACTGTTCTTCGGTGTTGGATGTTGATTTCAGTTTAACAGTCACAAACAATATCCTAAAATTATCTTTATTGTTGATAGCACAGTTCAAAATCCTAAATTTTTCAGTCATCAACAAAATGTCCACATCTAATTATCATCATGTGCAACATACTGGCATAAATAAATTACTACCGATTGTCATGAAGCGACGACTAGATGACACCACTTTGACAAAGAATCTATAATATTTCTCATTAGAGCACGGCTGTTTTCTGAAGTTAGATACTTCGCAACTTTTTCTCACTTTTCATATAGCGACGCTTTCGGTGTCGGTAACATGGCACCTGCACAATCCCTTTCAATAGAGAGACATTATGCGGTAGGAATAGATGCACATCTTGCATTATTTAATCCGCACTTCGTACTTCGGAAAAAGAGGAGATCGTGTTTTGTTTGCGATTAGAAGGTATTTTTTCTGCAGTGATGATCAAATGAAACCGCCTTCTAATGCATCGCATTCAGGGCTGGCCTTCTTGCTATTTCTACAACTACGACCAAAAAGCTTCAATCTTTCGCTATATCTATTGCTATTCTAAATGACAAAGTTTTCTTTATTTCGAAGCGACGGACTCGCTTTCTTTCAACCGAGCGTCACGGCTCTTCACTTTCTGTTCGAAGGTTCGCCCTTGCACACGGCAGGCAGCTCGACGGATTTCGTCCACGGAAGGAATATCGCCTCCTCCATCGGGTCCCAACAGCCGCCCGGCAGTTCTGTAGGTCAAGAGAGCCGACGAAAGATCCTCCAATGCGGCACTGCTCTTTTTCTGATCCTTCTTGCTAATTGCCTTCGACAAAGCCTTTTGTGCCTTTTCGAAAGCCTTAGCCGACTCGTTCATATCTTTGGCAAAGGAAACCTTGACGTTTGTACCTCCACCAAGAAGACTAGACGTGTACAGTTTCATGGGAAGGATCGTATCTTCCGCGATCTTGTCGGCGAATTCAGCAGCAGCTTCCCAGTCTTCGTTTCCGATCATCGAGGCGGCCCCAGGGATGGCGTCGTTGCACTTTTTGATTCTTGGCAAATACCGTTTCTTGTTCGTAGGATAGTAGTAGTTCGATCGAAGATTTGGCTCGTAGTTCGACTCAACCTTCGATTGGGCGACTACGGCCTCGCGGACCTCCTTCTTTGGAGCATTGCTGATTTTCGTGGGGTCGGTTCCGAACTCGTCCAAAAGTCCTCCCGCGAAAGATGGTTGCGCCAACCCTACACCAGCGATGAGCGCCGCTGCTCCGTTGGAAACGAAGGACCTTCTCGACGATTCCACATCACTCGCGGGTGTGGCCTTCGGTTGTTGGAATGCCGCAACCGAAGACGTAGCCAATACGAGACCAGCAATTGTCAACTTCATTGTTATGCTTTGCTAATTTGTTTCAGAGAAATCGATCGAGAAAGAGTGAAAGCCGAGTGTAGTTTGCAATTGTTCTACCGCACGCAAAGGGAGCATCGAAAGGATACCGTATGCATGAACCCCAAAAATTCTTTACGCATCTTTCAAGTGCGTGGTCATCAAAAGCAGGCAGTTGGGCTGATGAGAAATGGAAAAACATTAACCAGAAATTTACATGCCCGACAATGAAAATGTGGAGACAAAAGCTGACTCAGTTTTCGAACCACAACATCAGCAATAGGGAATGATCGGCATGCGGGAATGGGATATCGCATGGAAACAAAAACCATAGCGGTCTTGCATTCAACCGTTAAATCCTAGGTTGGAAATAAAAAATGGTGGAAAATACAAGGAAAAATTGTTTACGAAGTGCTTTACGAAGTAAATACCAGCACTCCTAATTTGTCAGAACGAGATTTCTTACTCCAACATCAATCATCAGTTGTGATGGATCAATCTTTGAAGTACCTGAATCTGGCGTAATCTGTGTGGGATTCGTCAAATATTTATCGTTTGGATTGCAAAATGCTCCATGAACCTCTTCGGTTGTGATTCTGCGAAGGAGTAGCTTGAAGAAGAATCAAAGACGATCTCTCTTTCCTAGGTCATGAGTTCTCTGTTTTCATTTCAATGAGACCCGAAGATGGCAAACATTTCCCAACTTTGTCGTATCATTCTTGCAAAACTAGATCATTGCCAAAAGGGCTGTCCGCATCTTGTACATGTTAAAGCACATACCATTGATTTCCATATACCATACAGGCTGGACGTTTTTATAGGCCAAAAAACTTCCGGGCATTCGCTGTCGTCGCTTCTGCGACGCTATCTATAGTCAGAGAAGAGTCGTGTTTTTGGAAGCACTCGGTTACTTTTGCAAGTACCATCGGTAGAGAACTCGGAACGTTGGGATAAATCGATTGTAGCAGGCGTTTTCGTTTTTTCGAATTCAGGCTGGCAACGAACGCTTGATTACCTTCTAAATATAGCTGTCGGCAGCCATCAAACCCCATGTACGGAGCATCCGTCTCAATCATAAGTTTGTCCAGTGGTATCACCCCCTCCTCTAGGCAGGATACAACTTCCGAATAATTGCTGTTCGATTGTTTGAGAATGTAGCCCGAAATAGAAATGAAATACCCTCTTTCGATGTAGGCTGTGCATTCTTCCTTCGTCCCCGTGAAACAGTGGATGATGACAGGGACGTCTGATGGATCAATTTTCTCCAGCAATTCCATGGCTTTGTCGAATGCAAGTCGTTCGTGGACAAAGAGGGGAAGACCTAGTTCCTTCGCAATTTCGATTTGCATTTCAAACCATGGTATTTGGTCCTCCAGGGGTGGAAATCCTTCGCTAGCATCCAAACCACACTCGCCGACAGCCACACAGAATTGATTAGTGGTTCCTTCTCTGTCAGCTTGTAGAATGTGCTTGATTTTGCTCTTCTGTTCCTCGATTGTGATTTTGGTTCCGTCTCCCGAAATGATTAACGATTGGTCGTTCACGTGGTACGGGTGGACTCCAACGGTGGTTTTGATATCGAGTGGGGGAGGGTGCGTCTTCAAAAGTTCTAACCCCCTTTCGGATTCGATGATGGTCGACGAGGGAGACAGCATAGCGACGATGTTGGAATCCTTCACCGCATCTTCCTTCAGGATGTTCCAGGGATCGCTCGTCTCGATTTTTTGCAACGTCACCATGTCTTTGTGCAGAAGATTACAATCGACGTCGATCAGTTCGGGTGCCATGTTGCGTCGCACGGTGCCCTTGCCACAGAGCGCACTGTTGCGAGAAAAATTTCTCGAGGAGGAGACCAAGCCGTGGGTTTGCTTTCGCGAGAGCCGATTCGAAAAAAGGGACAGCGCAATCCAAGTTCGAGACCTGTTTACCCCACTCCAAACCTTCATTCCAAAACACGGTCGATTAGGCTTCTCGTCTTGCTCCCAGAATCCTTCTGACACCGAACGACAATACAGTAATGAACGCAACAACGCCGAGGTCGAACGTGATGCTACGGTATGGATTGTTTGTTAGAAATATTTTTTTCTACTTGGACCAGTGAAAAGAATTTTTTGGATCCAATAGGCGCGCGTGAGAAAATGAAACTCGTCACAAAATTGTCAAAAATATTCTTGAAATATTTTTCTTTTGCACAATTATGCTCAGACCGCATGGTAATGGTACTAGAAGAAGCTACCATATTTGTACTAGTACTACTAGTAGGAGCTAGTTGTTGTAGCCACTATCTCAAACTAGACATCCAATTTCAACATATTTTTGCAGACATCATATCAGAAAACACAGGAAAATAACTAGGTCCAACTACAAACAGTCAAGAATTCAAAGGAGGAACACCACATTGAGGACAACGACAAGAACAAGAAGTCAGCAACAACAAGAACAACAAGAAGAAGTACTAAAACAAGATCTGGAAGATGCTGGTGCAACAACAACAACAACAACAACAACAACAACAACAACAACAAGCAAGCAAAAGTACTGCTGCTACTACTAGTAGTAGTAGCAGCAGTAGTAGCAGCAGTAG